AGTTGGACAAATTTTAAAATCTGAGAAAGTAAAACAAAAACGATAACATGACGTGGACTGGCATGTTTTTGTTTTGTAAAACATGAGCAAGATTATAAATGAGTTCCTGTGTTACGTTTTGTGCGTATGTATGTGTGTGTGTGATGGAGAGAGCTATCATTTTGTCTTGTGCATATTAATGAAAAACCAATATAGAGATTAAGAAGTGTGTTTCCTAATTTTCCCTTTTTTTCTCTATGGAATAAATTTTCTTCAGTGTTTGAAAGCGAGGCCCATTCACGCAGCAGCGCTTTGAGCCCGAGCTTCAGCAGGGGCTGATTGGAAACTGTAGACTGATGAAGGGGAAGCAAGACTTGTTCTCAAGACAGCAATTTATTTGTGTTTGTGTGTTTGTGCCACCCTGATCAGTGCTTCAGATCTCTCAACTACGCGAGGAGCTGAAGGGAGTAGAAAGCACTCTCAACGCTCCCATTCCTCCTCTTAGATTTGAGCCCCCCCCTCGTACAGACACACAAACACACACACTCACAAATCTCATTCCCTCACGCTCCTTCACTCTGTTCCTTTCACTTGATTTCCCTCTCATCCTCCATTCCTCTCTCCTCCCGTCTTTCCCACCCTCTCTCCAGAGACTCGTTCCTCGCTCTCAACGCTCCTTTCTCTGTTTAAACTGTGCACATCACAACAGAACAAATGATGCTCCTCTATTGTGCCACGCAGGCTCGCTCTGCCCTCTAGTGCTTTTGCTAGGCAACCGACCTGAGTGGCATTTTTATTTAATTTTTTTAAAGGGGGGTTGTGGTTCATTTCCTGTGTTGTGTCGCTGTGGTTGCACATGTAGACAAAGACAAAGGCAGTAAAAAGCTGAGAAAAGGAGGAGAGATTAGGCAGCTAAAGCAAGCACACGTAGACAACAACAAACAGACAAACAAGCGTCAGCCCGGGAGGATGTGCAGATGTGTGAGAGGCAGCAAACAGAACTAATATTAGGCTACACATTAAACCTTCTGTCTGCGTGACACAAACCACATCGCATGCATCAGGCAGACAGAAACGATCGCTGGGCACTGAATGTATTCAAGCACCACAAGTGACTTCTTCTTCTTAAAGAGACGAGAAAAAAAAGCTCATTGAAAAGCCGCCCGCGGTGATTTATTTTGTCGCTGTGTTTTTCTTTTACAGTGAATCTGGTAGTTTGTCAATTACACACAGAAAAGAAAGTTTAAATTAGTTTTTGCTGAGCTTTGTTTCTTAGTTCGTCATCTTTTGAAAATCTGTTTGGTAAAAAATCTGTGGCTCAGCTTGTCGTCACTCACCGTAGCCCTGCTTTACATCGTGGCTTCTCTCAGCTGTAAAACGCCCTCGTTTCAAACTATAACTGTGCTATACTGTAACACTACTGTGAAAAAATACAAGTCGGGCCCTTCTGGCGCTTTACAAGGAAAATGAACCACTGCTAAGCCTTGAGTTTGTTTTAAAGAGAGAGAGAGAAGCTTCAGATAGCCTTTAAGGGACAGCTCACCCCAAAGATAAAACTCTCATACTTTTCATCAGGTGTGCAGTTTTATTTGTCCTTCGTCCGGTCAGCTGCAGAGATTTCAACCTTCACTTAAGTGTAATGGAAATAAATTGCATTGCAGAAATCATGATCTGGTTACTCAGAAAACATCCACAAACCATGTGCTTTACCAAACTACAGCCACCAACAACATCAATGTGCAGAAGTAAGAGTGTAACTACCAATGATGAGAAGCTTGTACAATAGTAGTGATGGAGTTGAGTGTCAGTGCTAACTACACACTTCTATTGGCTGTAATTCAGTATAAAGAAAGAAAATCTGTTGGTTTTGAAGTCCTAATCTTGGCTTGTGGCCACGACTCTGAAGGTTTTTCTGACCCAAATATGACTCTATTGGTATGAGACAGTGGACTGCTAAGCTATGAGCTCACACTTGCATGCTTGGTTAGGAAACCGCATCATTAAACTGTACAGGTGCACTGCACATCCACAGGTACCTGCTAGTTAGTGCCAACTAACAGATTTAGCATGCGAGCATTTTACTCATCAAAACTGAAGCATGGGTTGCTCCAAAAGACACCGAATGGTGAGAGGTCCAGTTCAGTGACCCCAATTGGCATTTCTGAGGCTGATCAGCCAGCCATCATCTGTTGCTATCAAAGTTACCATGGGATGGGTGTAACATATAACAAAACTATACCCACTGCACAGGTGATATAAAGGGGTAAGTTATCTCTAGAGATCAATGCCATGTTTGTTTAGCACCAGGGTGTAAACATGTTTAATTCTGCTGTAAAGCTGGGCATTTTAACATGGGAGTCTATGGGGACGGAATCATATTTGAAGGCAGCCTCAAGTGGCCACTAGAGGAACTGCAACTTTAATTATCATTATTATTATTTATTTTACACACGATTTATGTGATGGTTGGAGTAACCGTTTCATGATTCGTAGAATAAAAATATTTGCAAAAAGTGCTGTTTCATAGAGATGAATAAAGAAAACTGGAGGCTGAAGGAAAAACATATAAAATGAAGGCTGGGGTGATCAGGCCCTTTAAAGTGTGACAGCAGTTAGTATCGAGATAATCAGTGCTTCCACTGAAGTTAGTGTCTCCCTTCCCTCTCGACTTCCTCTGCCCTGATGTGTGCATAATGAATATGTGTCAAAAAGGTTTTATTACTGTACTTGTTGGTAACATCTTACATCTCTAACGCTTTAAAAGATGAATGAAAGCGTGTCTGCATTACTTTGTATTTAGCTCATCAGAGTGAAAGTGTGGAGGACGATGCTGTAATCAACAAAACCAAAAAAGCCTTCTTCTCTGTAAACTAACTCCTTGTCATCATCTGTTCTCATGGTTGTTGGTGTTGTATAATCCAACCCTTTAAATACGAACTTTAACCACCACGCCCGTCGTCCTGTAAGCGCCGCTGTGTTTGGCAGCACCCGCGAATGAATTTCTCTACTTTTTTGGGGGGTTTCTGTCACCTTTGGGGAGTCCTCCATCTCACTGTATGGAGACTGAATGTCAAGAATGGGCGGATATGTAGGGTTTTTATAGCATTCCCGAGTTTTACCAGGGGGAGCACGGTCACAAATTTAAAACCCTCTCGGTCGTTGAGCCTGATTCGTGTAGGAAAAGCAGCGGAGCGCCCAAACCTGCGGGGGCTCCAATGCTCATGCTTCCAAAAGTTTGATGCCAGTCCAGGCAGGCTCATAAATCACATGTTAGAGGCAGTTTGTGGGAAAACACCCAAGGATTACAAGTCCAACGCGGAGGCAGGAAGCTATAGAAACATGTGTGGGTCAGTGTTAAGGTCACAGCCAAAGTGAGGCTGCGTGACCTGGTTTGAAATCCCTTCAGGAAGAGAAAGGAAGCTTCCTCCAAATATCATTATGTACCGGGACCAAGTCTGTAGACAACATTTTAACGAAAACTGTTGTTATTGATGTTCTTTGTTTTATTTTATTTTTTTTTACTGGTGCTGACATATATGTGATTATGAGAAAAAAAACTATATAAAAGATAATGGCTATTTGTAAATATGTTTTTACAGGTTTAAATACATCAGATAATACAGTCTCTACTCTGTAAAGAATTTACTGTTTGTTGGAAAATAGAGAAGTATTTTTATTTTGAAGTTTTTTGGTTTCACTTTTAACCCATCTGAGCTATGCCATTGCACTTCAGACAATGTCTTACTACTAATTTGTATTGTAAACCTCCTCTCTTTTTTGGTATTTTTTTCATTTGTTTTTTCTAGTTTGAGATTTGACTCGGTTCTTAAGCAGTGCTTATTTCTTTTTATCCTGTACAGAATTCTGAAAATGTTAACAAAAGATAATTACAAGAGACTTTTTTTTGTTTGTTTTTTCAAAAAGATAAAATAAAGAGAGACTATTCTCGCTGATCATATTACATGAAAGCTTCTGTTTACACCTGGTTCATTTACATCATTTACACAGCAGCTGTCAACACGTGAAACGTGCACTCACTGGACACTGTTAGGTACACCTGGTTAGTAATGGGATGGACCCACTTTTTTACCTTAGTTCTTAATTGCATTGATTCAACAAGGTGCTGGACAACTTCCTCCGAGGTTTTTGTCCATATTGACATGATGGCGTCTGCAAGCACATCCGTGAGGTTTCTGAACGTCAGCGGGTCACCTTGACCGTGTTAGTATTAGCGTTAACGAGCAGTTGAACAGGTGGCTGGTGAGTGTTTATAAACGTTTACTTGGAATTCACTCAGTATTGCTCCAATCACGTCCAGACTGACCCATTAGGCTAAATTAACTGAACATAAAGGCTCAACTAAACTTTGGGCAACTTTTAGAATCACGTTATCTGAATACAGCTTCACTCTCAGACTGCAGAGATACATACCATCTCTACTTTTAAGGTTAGTCTTCAAACTTGTAGCCTAACCTTGATGGCATGATAAAGTAACCCTGAACCATCCTTTATTTATGCTGCTTTGGCCTCAGGCTCCTGTGAGATTTACCATCATTCACCGAGTCATCCCCATGCATTTATATGCCAGTATTTCTTTGCCATAACTTTGTCTGCTCTCCCTATAGTTGGTGCATGGGTACACTCATATACTCATCTTTTCTGTTGTCTCCTCTCTCTCACCTCCACAGCAGTGGGAGCTGATTGGAGAACAAGCCTGGTTCTGCTGAGGTCTCTTCCTGTTAAAAAGGAGTTTTTCATTCCCACCTTTTGCCATGACTCACTCATAGGCAACTTTCTGATCATTGGGATTCTCTTTGTAGCATTGTATGGCAAGTTTATATTGTAAGCTTTACCTTGCAATATAAAACGCTTGTGCTTGTTATAGATGCAAAAGAATACATGTTCATGCTTTAAAAGATGATAGGAGGTGGTTGGATCGGCTGCACCTATTCCCAAAATTCCAGGAATTATCTTGGAATTATTATAATATAGGTTAACTCCATCCATCCATTGTAATATGACACTATGCTTTTTTTGTCATGCGCCGTGGTGCGCGGGCACGAAAGGATGCAGGCGCAGACTCCGAGCTAACAAAAGACACTTTATTAAAACAACGAAAGGCGACCCGGGGAAAGTAGAGAGCAAAACAGAAACTAAAAATCCGGGGAAACAATGACACGAGGAAGCCGGGATCGGGACGGCGGGGGGCTGCAATAGAAAGGGGAGATGATTACTAGGGAGCCAGGAAGCGGGGAGAACATATCAGGACTGAGTTAGAGTAAGGCCTTACGATAGAACAGAACCGTGGGAGCTCGGGGGGGAAGTGTGGCAGTCCGTGGGGGCAGGAAGTCCGTGGAATGGCGAGTGGGCCAGGTGAGCACCGCGAGATCCAGTTGAGCCGGAGGACAGGCAGGTAGCAGACGCCGAGTAGAAACCTGGACAGAAGTAGGCAGGTTAAACAAAGTTCCAAGCAGGAGAGAATGCACACTTTTCGTGGAAGTCTGGTTACCACTGTGGGGATGACTACGGACTGGCGTGGAGCATCCGTCAGCGCCGGGTTAAGTGGATCTCCGTGTAATCACCGGGATGGAGAGCAGGTGTGCTGGTGATGGCCCAGCCCGGGGGTGTGGCTACCTGAGCATCACGCATTCCACAGACACAGGACCACGGACCATGACATTTTTTTTAACCCTGATATTTTTACATTACTTTTTTTTTTCTTCCACAGATGGGTGAGGACCTGTTGGGTTCTTTGTGTCCTCTTTTGCAATAAAAATTGAAACATCCGGTGAAAAACTAGCTCATGCATTTATTACTTCTCAGATGTTATATGATTTATATTTATTATAATTTAAATCTACTACATATATTCTTCTCACATTGGCTTCACTTGATTTCTTTCCCTGTTAAATTCAGAATTAAATTTAAAATCCTTTTCCTCAGATACAATGTGTTGAATATTCAGGTCCGATCTTATCTTAAAGAACTCACAGCACTGTTTCACCCCAACAGAGCACTTTGCTCTCAGACTGCTGGCTAACTTGTAGTTCCTAGAGTATTTAAAGTAAAATGGCAGGCAGAGCCTTTAGCTTTCACTCAATCTTATTTTATTTTGATACTGCGCCCCTTCATACATTAGTGCACTTCAGAGTGCTTTTCTTTGAACTGACAGTTATAAGCTGGTGATAAGAAAGAGCAAACTTGGCAAAACAAAACAATTAAAGATTAAAAGCCAACATGAAATAAGAAAACATATAAGAAAATCTGCAATCATCAATAAACTAAAAGTAATTTAATAATGTGTTGCTGGAAAAAATAAAAGACAAAAGGATTAAACAAGTGGTAAAATTAAGAAATCCTGCAAATGGATTAAGAAGAGAAATCATTTAAAAAAATCTGCAAAAATTAAAAATAATTGGAAAAAAATGAGTTAAAAATATGAAACATAAAGTATTTTAATATTTTAATATAGTAATGCTGGATAAAATGGATTCAGACTGATAAAAAGCCAGAAAATAATAATTTAAATATAAACCTGACAGAAATGAGAAGGTAAAAGTAATTTATATAACAGGGGATCAAACATCTGGCCCAGATGTTCAAACCAGCCCACCAAAGGCTCCAGTTAGGCCTGCTGGATGGCTTTGGAAAAAAATGAAAACTGTACAGTGCATTTTCATTTTGTTGCATGTCCGCTGCCACACCAAAATAAGGAATACGACATTAAATGACAGAAATAAAGACATAAAGGTGGTTTTCAATATTATTAATGCTACATAAAATAACAGAACCTACTTCCTGTTTTTCACTTTTTACCATAGAATTTCCTGTTTTGTAAACAGTACAACGGTACAATACATTTTTTTATAAATTGACAGAAAATGTATTAGTCGGGGTAAAGAGCTGCCAGTACCATTTTCTGTAATAGTTTGCATTTATTCACAAAGTCCTTTTTCTTACATTGTAAGCGCAGGGAGTTGTGTTGGAGAGTTTCTTTGAATCAGCTTCTTTGCTACAGCAGCATTTCTTTCTAAGGTAGAAAACTGGATATTTTTCTCAAGACATCTCAGAGCTTAAACATGTAGTTAAACTTCTTTACACTGTAGGAAAGGGGAACAATCTGGAGGTGGTTTCTTTTTCCATGGGTAATTAGGCCAAACTTTTACTTGTCCATCTCACTAAACACGAAACTCGGTCGTGCAAAACCACGGTGTAAAATTAATTTGAGCCAGGGTGACGATGAAGGTTTTCTGTTTATACATCTATAGATTTCAACACGTTCAGGTTCTCCTGCAGGCTGGTCCGTGGCTGGTGGTAGTTGGCGGTTGCATACAATAACTATGTGTGTGTGTGCACAGGGAACATTCACACTTACTCTGTTAAGTAGACAAGCTCATTTCATTCCAAGGTTGCAAGACTGACAGAGACAAATGCACACACAATCATGTGGCGCCTAAAAGCAGACTGACTAACTGCTTCAGTAATGTTTTGTCTAACACACCCAATTTACATAATTAGACTGGAATATGCTAAAGAGCAGAGCCTTAATGCTGTCTGCTTGTAACTGTGACAATGAATAAGGGACACCCTGTTGGTGTCAGGCAGACAGAGAGACAGACAGACCACATGCAGGGCCACGACCTTTTCGTCAAAATACATCTTTTCCATCCCTTTCAAACTCTTCCTTATTCCTCTTTGTGCCACTCCTCTTCGTCTTCATCCCTTTTCTTTGCCATGGCCACCATACTCTTCTTCTTCCTCCTATATTTCTGCCACATCTTTCCCGTCTCTCCCATGCTGCTTTGGTTCTTATCCACTCACTATCCCCCACCCAACATCACCACCCCCGCACACACATACACAGATATCCACCAAACACTCCAGCTTTCCCTTCTGACATTGATAAATGGAGACTTGCAGAGATGACAGCATCATTACTCATGTTCAGCAGCGACACCACCTAGGACAGAAAAAAAAAACGAGCGTAAGAGGGAGGATGAAGGACAGGATGGGAGGGAGATGGTGAGTGAAGGGGGTGGAGAAGAGAGGTTGCAGTTGGAGGTGTTTGCTACAAATGTTAACATCTCCAGAGAGCACAATGTTGAGCTGTTCATTACTGATGTGAAAAGCAGAATAACTGTGAACTGTAGCATCTGAGTCGTTGAAAGTAATCAGACATCAATCAAATAAAGCTGCAAGAAACTAATATGTTCTTTGTCAAGAACTCTTTTAATTGGTCATTTAGTGTATAAATCTCAACAGTAAAGCATCTGTCAGATATCAACAGACATCAAAACAAACTTTTTAATATGAATTTTTAATAAGAACTATGTCTAAAAGCTGGATTTTTTTTTTACCTTATCATCTTCAGCTCTAGTAGAGTGGCTTTGCATGATTTGCAGTTCAAAGTAATGCAGTTTATTTCAAACTCGTCCTTGGTGTGGCCTCACGTCCTACTTTGTATGAAAGAAGCTGATTTTCTCCTCCTTTATTAGGCTAACTTGCTGATTGGCTGCCCGTTACAGAAGTATAAACAGCAGGTAGGCGGAGCTTCACAGTTAGAGTTGTATGCCTGAAATGACCATATTAGGGATTTCCCCTATGGATTTGTGTACAAATCCACTCACCAGCCAGGGCCTGTCTGTGTCGAGTCTTGGTGTTCTTCCTGTGTGGTTTTCTCTCCTGATATTCTGCTTTACTTTTTGCTAGTGTCCTTGCAGCATGAAATGATACCTGCAGCCCTTTGAGTTGGAACAGGTAGTCCAGCTCTTCCAGGATAGCACATCCATACTTACCAGGAAGGTCCCCGGTAGGTGGAGCTAAGATGTAAGGAGAGGAATTTAGAATCTGGAAAATACAAATGGTGGTAGGGCTTCCCCATCATGTTTTTTATAAGTGTCTCTTTTTATTGTGTTATTCTCATTAATCCACCTTTCTCATATCACACTGTGCACATGCCCGATTCCTTTTATTGCATCTCAGTCACTCCCACCTGAGACGAGGAGGAGGAGCTGAGGAGGCGAGGAAGAAGCACGAGGAGAGAAGCGAAGGCAGCAGACGTTCAACAAGATGAGACATCCTCATTTTAAAGTGATGTCATTTAACTTTGACTAGTGCTGGATTTTATGATGTAACAGTGCTCAGTGCACTATATTTAAATTTATAGCCATCTTAATTTAATTCACAAAAAGATTGTGCAACTTGGAAAAATATTATGATTTGTTTGTTTTGTGAAAAGAAATTTAAGAGTCGTCCTCCTTCGGTTGGTTGTACATTCCAGCTGTGCGCTTTACATCTTTTTCTCACTGAAAGTAAAAATACTTTTGCAAAGAATACACCAGAGCATCCTCAATTAATCTCCTCCTGCACCCATCTTTCCTCTTTCATCTATGGGCATTTTAGGAGTTGAGACAACCGTCAGCACAACACACTGCGATTGATTTCTGGGTCACAGGCAGGAGGAGGAAGGACAAAGGAGACGAGGAGGCCAACTCAGAGAAATGAGAAAAGCCTTTTGTCTCTTATTTTTTGATTTTACACACTTGCAATAAAGCAAAAAGTTCTCATGCCAGCACAAAATACCAAAGAAAGTGCCCACTTATTCGCAGGTCACACAAAAACAAAGAAGCAATAAAGAAATCATTTAAATGCCTCACTTTTTGTGGGAAAGGGTGGGGGTGTCAGCTTTGTTTTTGTGTTCAATGTCCATCAAAAAAACCAAAACAAACCAACAATATTTCAGATGGGTTCATTTCACCGAGCAGAATTACTCAGCCAGTAACCTCTGAATGAGCTTGCAACAGCTTCTCTAAACATTTACAGATTCATCCTCAGGCTGAGATTCAGGAAGTTTATTCATGTTGAAATTGTTGCTGCCCACCCTTTTGATACAAAAAGCACACAAAGGTCGAGAGTGAGTTTGTGGCTGGCTGATTGAATGCATTGTCTGGATGGGTTTTTTCACAGCATCAGGATAAAGACAAAAACAGGTCAGGGGTGTCAAAGTGAGCTCAATAACAGTAGAAGAGCAACAGTAAGATAAATACTATCACATGTTTTCTTTTATGGCCAGTTAAGCATCCGAAATATGTCAGAAAAATAACTGAACTGCATGATTCAAGTAACAGCTAACTACATTTTAAAATATACTTTTATACTAATAGGACATTATACAATAAATCTTTTTTCCCCCCAGAGCTGTTTCACCGTCACCCACATTTTAGTTTCACAGATAATCTTCTATTACACATTTAATATGTATGCCATCTAGTTCAAGTGGATTTAATTCATACTTAATTTAGTCATTTTTCCATCCTCAACACACATACTTAAAGCCTGCTTAGAATAAGTATGTACTATGGATTAGAGGCGCACTGTTAATTTAAGGTCTTCACACAATAAGAAGTGAAAAGAAGTGTCTGTATTGGGGGGTCCATTTTCCAAAAAGCTAAGACGCTGGGTCAGATACAAAGAAGACTTCAATAATGTGCAAAACCCATCAAAAAGACATCTAAATGGCGCGTACCAGTCAAGGTTAAAATCTGTTTAAAAAGCAGCATATACCTTTTTAAAAATACTTTTTATTTCGCTGTGAAATGGTAAATAATTCTATATTTTGGTTTCTGTTTGTTTTTCATTGAAGTTCTAGTTTTTTAATTTTTGTTGTACTGACTTTTGGAGTTCTGTTTTGGCCGCCCCTCCCCGACCCTGGTTCTGCTGGAGATTTCTTCCTGTTAAAAGGGCATTTTTCCTTCCCACTGTCGCCAAAGTGCTTGCTCATATAGGGCAGGGGTGGGCAATTTCAGGCCCCGAGGGCCGGTGTCCTGCAGGTTTTAGATCTCACCTTGGGTCAACACACCTGAATCACATGGTTAGTTTGTTACCAGGCCTCTGGAGAACTTTGGGACATTTTGAGGAGCTAATTTAGCCATTTAAATCAGCTGTGTTGGTTCAAGGACACATCCAAAACCTGCAGGGACACCGGCCCTCAAGGCCTGGAGTTGCCCACCCCTGTCATAGGGGGTCATAAGATTGTTGGGTTCTTCTTATTGTTGTAGGGTCTACCTTAAAATATAAAGTGCCTTGAGGTGACCGTTGTTGTGATTTGGCGCTGTATAAATAAAACTGAATTGAAGTATCATGGGAGTAATGTTTGACTTTAGCTCTTGCTGTATTATTTGAGTCCTGGTTCCTGTCATAAGATATCTTCGAGTCCAAAAAGAACCTTTTAAGCTTGATGTCATGAGCAATAATGACCGCACCCCAAATACAGCTCAAAACTTAGAAGATA